AGATGTCCATATATGTGCCCATTCCAAAGAAAGGTGATCCAATAGAATGTGAAAATAATTGAACAATATAATAAATCTTACAAACAAGCAAAATATTGCTGAAGATAATTAAAAAATGGTTGAAGCAGTGTACTGACAAGTTACTTCTGAAAATGCAAGCTGGATTCAGAAGAGGCGTGGGATGAGGGATATTGTTGCTGATGTCAGATGGATCTTGGCTGAAAGCAAAGAATACCAGAAAGATGTTTACCTGTGTTTTATTGACAATGTAAAGGGATTTGACTGTGTAGACCATGAAATATTATGGATAGCATTGTGAAGAATGGGAATTCCAGAACACATAATTGTGCTCTTGAGGAAACTGTACATGTACTAAAAGGCTGCCATTTGAACAAAACAAGTGGATGCTGCATGGTTTAAAATCAGGAAGGGTGTGTGTCACGGTTGCATCCTTTCCCCATACTTATTCAATCTGTATGCTGAGCAAATAATCCAAGAAGCTAGACGATTTGAAAAAGAATGAGGCATCAGGAATGCAGGGAGACTCTTTAACAACTTGCAATATGCAGGTGACACAGCTTGCTTGCTGAAAGTGAAGATGATTTGACGTACTTACTGATGAAGATCAAAGACTACTGTGGTAGTTAAAGTTGTGTGTCTACTTGGTTGGGCCGTGATTTTGAATGGCTTGGCAACTGTGAGGTAGTTATTACTCATGATGATATTGGACATAGTGTAATCACATCCATGGTCAAATCTGCTATGAGCAATTAATCTGTTGAAGGGGAGTTGCTTTTGAAATGTGGCCTGCTTCCAGTACACCTGGAAAGGATCCTACATTTGGTTTGTCATCATCTCCAGTTCCTGGACTTGAACCAGTGGCCAGCCATGTTGCTTGCCAATCTTGGGGTTGTTGCCTTTGCAGCCTGTGAACCAACAAGTATTCAGCAGCCTCAGCAGTCTGCAGCCTGCTATACTGCCTGCCAATCTTGAGTTTGTCATCCCTTGCAGCTGTGTGAGTGAGGAGAAACCTCCAGCCTCTGGGGTGTCTGGAAGGCAAAGCTGAAGCCGAAGGTTAAGGGTCCTGCATGCAACCTCTAGAGCCAGCACTCTGAACTCAGACTTCTAAACTATAAAAGAATACATTTCTGTTTTTTAAAGCTGTCCACTTGTGATATTTCTGTTATAGCAACACTAGAGAACTAAGACAACTGCAATCTTCAGTATCGATTACATCTCAACATAAGGAAGACAAAAATCCTCACAACTGGACCAATAAGCAACATCATGCTAAATAGAGAAAAGATTGAAGTTGTGAGGGATTTTATTTGGATACACAACCAACACCCATGGAGACAGCAGTCAAGAAATCAGAAATCATGCTGCACTGAGCAAATCTACTGCAAAAGACAACTTTAAAGTGTTAAGGAGTAAAGACATCACATTGAAGACTAAGGTAAGCCTAATCCAAGCCATAATATTTTCAAATGCCTCGGATGAAATGTGAAAGCTGGACAATGAATAAGGAAGACTGAAGAGGAGATGATACCTTTGAAATGTGGTGTTGGTGAAGAATAGTAAAAATACCATGGACTACCAGAAGAATGAACAAATTTGTCCTGATAGAAGTGCAGCTGGAATGCTCTTTAGAGATAAGAATGGCCAGACTTCATCTTACCTACTTTGATCATGTTGTCAGAAGGGACCGTTCCCTGGAGAAGGATGTCACGGTTGGTAAAAAAGAGGGTCAGTGAAAAAGAGGAAGGCCCTCAGGGAGATGGATGGACACTGTGGCTGTAACGATGGGCTCAAGCATAGCAAGGATTGTGAGGATGGTGCAGGACCAGGTGGTGTTTTGTTCTATTGTATATAGGGTTGCTATGAATTGGAGCCAACTTGATGGTACCTAATAAAAAAGTAATGGTACAGTGAATGTCTTAGGGCTTGGCAGAACATTCTTTTGGGATATATATCCAGGACCAGAATTGCTAGGTCCTAGCCCTAGTGGTGCAGTGATTAAGCACACATTTATTTATAACTGAAAGTTCAGTGGTTTTAACTAACCAATCACTCATCAGGAAAAATATATGATTGTCTGCTTCTATGAAGATTAAAGCCTTGGAAACCCTATTGGCATTCCTACTCTCTCTTATAGGATCACTATGTGGCAGAATCAATCCCACTGCAGTGATTTTCTCATTCTGTTTATAAATGCATATGTTTATTTTTCCTAAGTAATGTCTCACTGTCTCCAGAACAACTGCAGTGTATGAGGGTTCTTAAATCCCCACATCCTCACCAACCCTTAGCACCACCCAGCTTTTTAACTTTCATCAGTCTTAAAGTGGTTAAGCACTTGGCTGCTAACTGAAAGGTCAGCAGTTGGAACCCACCAGCTGCTCAGCAGGAGAAAGATGTAGCAGTCTGCATCCATGAAGATTACAGCCTTGGAAACCCCATGGGGCAGTTCTACTCTGTCCTATAGAGTCACTATTAGTCAAAATCAGCTTGACTGCAACAGAATAGATGCAAAGGGATATCTCATTGTTTTAGTCAGTGACACTTCAGGTTGTTTGCTATAAATTGTCTGCTCTTACACTTTGCATTTTTTTCCTGTTCATGTCGATGTCTTTTTCTTTTTGATTCTTGGGACTTTATTATATATGTTAGTTATATATCTGCTCTCATCCTATTATATTTATATTAACTTTATTCCTGGAATCCTGGTTATTTATCATATTTCAATCAAAGTCATGCTTACTACAGTTGGTGTTATTAGGTGCCATCCTATATAGCAGAACAAAATGCTTCCCTGTCTTGTGTCATCCCCACAATAGTAGATGAGTTTGAGCTCATGTTGCAGCCACTATGTCAATCCATCTTGTTGAAGGTCTTCCTCTTTTTTGCTAGTCCTCCTACTTTATAAGAATCACTCTAAACAAACAAACAAACAAAAACCCAAATCCATTGCCATTTAATCAATTTCAACTCATAGTGTAAACCTGTAAGGACAGTGTAGAACTGCGCCATAGGGTTTCCAAGGGTGTAAATCCTTATGAAAGCAGACTGCCACATCTTTCTCTAGTGGTGCAATTCGTGGGTTTGCATCACCACTGACCTTTTGATTAGCAGCTAAGCATTTTAACTACCGTGTCTCCAGGGCTCCTTTTAAGACTCACACAGGTGTTTATTAAAACACAGATTACTGGGCCCCACTTGTTAATTCATCAGGTGTGGAGCGGGGCCCAAAGATCCACATTTCTAACGAGCTCCCAGGTAATACTTGACCTGGGATTCTATTGCTTATTTACCGGCTTCATCAATGTAAGAAGAATTTTTCTTGGTGGTAGCATTGAAGTATAGGTCATATCTACTGTGGAATCTCTTTGGATTCTATAGTGCAATGGGGGTTCCCTCATCCCATCTTCTTCATTCCAAAAACTGTAAGCATGTATTGCCTTTATTAAATCCCTTTCTTTTGGAGTAACTTAGAGCTTTATCTGTTTCCTGTAATAAACCACTTATTGATACATTATTGTGCTCCAAATAGCCAAAAGTAGCAAGAGAATAAATGCTCTACACTCTTCAGGCTGCTGAGTCTAAAATATGCGTCCTTCATATTGTTATAAACAAGAGGGGAAGAGGTTTTGCCCCATTAGAATTGGATTTACTGAGTGAGGTTGGCTGGGAATGTAGATTTATCAGTTATTTATGCAGGTTAAGATAGTTTGAAGCAATGTGTAGTCTAGGAAGATCAACTGTCCTGGTTTGCTTATGACTGAAGGGTTTCCCAGCATTTGGGGCTTTCAGTAATGAAACCAGTAAAGTGCCAGGCAAATAGGATTGAGTGGATCATCTTGGTTTAACTTTTCTGTCATCACCTCAGAAAAGATGTTTATAAAGGGAGGGAAGTTGGGCTGATGATAAAAGGACTAGGTTTGAGAAATTATTTCAGGATGGGCACTTGGAATTGGAAGAGCACAGTTAGGGCAAGATCAAGAGGTATCCAAAGAGAGTGTTAGCCTACAGTGAAAGGGTTAATGGAGTCATCTAGGCTTGGGTTTCAATCCCAGTGATGTTTACCAGCTATGTGACCTTGAACAAGTTACTAAGCCAAGTTTCTGTATCTAGTAAATGGAACAAAATAGTATCTACCTATTGTGAGGTGTAATTGAAATAATGGATGTAAAGTCCTCAGAGGTGTTGCCTGATTTAGAGTAAGCATCCTCAAAATATTAGCTACTAGTGTTATTGTTACTGTTACAAAGGGAGTTAAATAAAGGCATCAGGTATTAGTTTTAGAGCAGCAGGAAGTAGAGGGAGTGAAAGAGTAGAGGGAGAGATCTGGATGGGATGGACTGTGCATCTCTTCTTGGTAACTTTTTAAATGAACTTTCTTTGCTTTGTGTACCCCCATGTGAAAGTAAAAATAGTAAGAACTGGGTTAAGCAATACTCTCTCTGTAAACCAACCAACCAGCCAACTGAACAAACAAACAAACTGAAAAAAACCAACTACAAAACCAAAACCAAAATCACTGCCATCGAGTAGATTCTGACTCTTAGTGCCCATGTAGGATGGAATAGAACTGCCCCATAGCGTTTCTAAGGCTATAAATCTTTACAGAAGCAGATTCCTTCATCTTTCTCCCATGGAGAGCTGGTGGAGTGCTTTAACCGTTATGCCACAGAGGTCCTGATTTTCTCTGTACAAGGTAATAAAATAATGAATGACTCAAACTCAATGCTGAAAGCTTAAAATTCATGTTAAAGTACAATTAGGAAATGTAGAAAAGGGCTTAGGATAGACAAAATAGATTCCAAGTGGATTTGAAATAGCAGATTGAAAGCAGTAAGGCATGAGGGAGGGTGGGAAGGAACAGAGAAAAAGAGAGAAGACATTCATCAACTATGTAGAGAAGTGCTTATTCCTCATTCATGGTTAGACTTTCTTTTATTTATAATAACTTTTAAAGTTGAGAAAGAATGGTAACATTTGCTTCAAGACAGTTTTCTTCTCAGTGTTTTCTGCATGGCAGCCTTTACCTCCTTGTTTCTCAGACTGTAAATTAGGGGGTTCAGCATGGGGATCACTGTGGTGTAGAATACGGAGGCCACATTCTCTTGGGCCAAGGAGCTGACTGTGGAAGGTTTTAGATATATGAATGCAGTAGATCCATAGAACATTCCCACTGCTGCAAGGTGGGAGCTGCAGGTGCTGAAGGCTTTAGATCTGCCCTCTTTGCTGTTGATACGTAGGATGCTGGAGAGGATGAAGGCATAGGAAGTAAGGACTGTTAAGCTTGTGGCTACGATGTTGAATCCAGCCAAAAAGAAAACTGTCATCTCAATATCATAGGCACTAAAGCAGGAGAGCTTCATGAGAGGTAAGATATCACAGAAATAATGACTTATGAAGATTTCACAATAGGACAGTTTTATCATGAGAGCAGTCTCTATTGTTGAGCCAATGAGCCCCATGATGTAGACCACAGCTACTAGTAAGGAGCACATTTGAGGTGACATAATGATGTTATAAAGCAAAGGGCTGCAGATGGCAACATAGCGGTCATAAGCCATCACTGTCAGCATGTAACACTCAGCAACGACAAAAACAATGAAAAAGTAGAGCTGTGACATGCACCCTGAATAAGAGATGCTGTTCTTCTCTGACAGAAAGTTGACCAGCATTTTAGGGGTAATGACAGAGGAGTAGCACATATCTACAAATGACAAATTTGTGAGGAAGAAGTACATGGGGGTGTGAAGCTGTGAATTCAGACAAATGAGTGTGATCATACCCAGGTTCCCCACTATGGTCACTGTGTAGATCCCTAGGAAGAGGAAGAAGAGAGGGAGCTGGAACTCTGGCCGATTTGTTAATCCTCCTAGAATGAACTCCATCACAGCAGAGTGATTTTCTGCAGCCATTCTTCTCGAGTTGGAAGCCTGGGGGGCTGGGAAAGAAAAGCCTCCTGAAAGGCTGTAATTCTACTTGGTGAAACAAATTTTGAACAATTGTCTCAGTCATAGAGATCCTGGGATCTCTTTTCTTTTATTGTTGTAAAAATGTAGATAACACATTCTTTGCCAATTTAATATTTTTCATGTATGTAGTTACATCAATTATGCTGTGCAACCTTTACCAATAACTGTTGCCAAATTTTTCATCACCATAAAGAGAAACTCGGTGTTTCCCTTTCCCTCCTGTCTTCCACCTCTGGTAACAACTACTAAAATATGATCTTATTTACTCAGTCTAAGTATATTATTATTGTGAGGTCATACAATATTTGTTATTTTGTGATTGGCTTGTCTCACTCAGTCTAATGTCTGAAGGTTCATCCATGTCTTAACAGTGATTGGAAGGCTGAATATTGTCAAGATGTTAATATTACCTAATGCTGCTTTATAAATTCAATACATAAAAATCAAAATCCCAACAGTCTTCTTTGCAGAAATAGAAAAGTCAATCCTCAAATTTAAATAGAAATGCAAAGGGTCCCAAATGGCCAAAGCAATCCTGAAAAAGAAGGGCAGAGTAGGAGGACTCACATTTCCCCAGTTCAAAGCATATTATAAAGCTAGAGTAATAAAACAGGCTGGTACTTGGAAAATGATAGACCTATAGACCAATAGAATAGAATCCAGAGATAAACGCACACAGCTAGGAGCTCTGGTGGTGTAGTGACTAAGGAATTTGACTGCTAACCACACCCACCAGCCACTCCTTGGAAAGAAGACTGGACAATCTACTCTCGTAGAGATACCACCTCAGAAACCCAAGGAGAGGTCACTATGAGTCCAATTGACTTGACGGCAGTAAGTTTGGTTTTGGTTTTACGATCAATTGATTTTTGACAAAGGTGTCAATTTCAACAAATGGAGAAAGAATATTCACTTGAATAAATGGTGCTGTGGCAATTGGTTTTCCACATGCAAAAGAATGAAAATAGACTTATACATCACACCACAGACAAAAACTAATGCAAAATGGATAAAAGATCAAAATACATGACTGAAATCCATAAAACTACCAGAAGAAAATGTAGGGGTATTGCATCAGGATCTAATCTTCAAAAGTGGATTCTTATATATGACACGAAACTCACAAGGAACAGAAGACATAATAGAAAAATGAGATCTTGTCAAAATTATAAACTTACAGGCTCTTTATTGATGCATTATCTCCTCACTCCTGTTGTTAACTTGGAGGAAAACCAGCACCTGAGCATTTCAAAGATCATGAAGATGAGAGGAAAAAGGGCCAAGATTTGGAACTTTTACCACTGTTTCTCAAATATCCTAGATGTGATTCTCAAAGTGTAGTCCCTGGATCCAGCAGCATCAGCATCACCTGTAGCTTATTAGAAATATAAACTACAAGGATTTGCTCCAATCCCAAACCAAACCAAAGTTATAGCTTTCGACTTAGATCCAACTCATAGTGACTCCTCCTTGGGTTTCAGAGGCAGTGTCACTACAGAAGTAGATTACCCAATCTTCCTTCTGAGGGGTGGCTGGTGGGTTTGAACTGCCAGCCTTGTGTTTAGCAGTCAAGTGTCTTAGGCACTATGCCACCAGAGCTTCTAGGACTTTCTATAGACCTACTGAATCAGAAACCTTGAGAGTAGGGCCCAACATTCTGTGTTTTAACAAACTCTTCAGATGATGTTGATGCACCCTAATGTTTGATAACCTTTACTCTAGAGGATAATTATGGATAATATTGAGAATAATGGGAATTCCAGGACACTTAATTGTGCTCATGCAGAGGCTGTACATAGAACAAGAGGCAGCCATTCAAACAGAACAAGGGGATACTGCATGGTTTAAAATCAGGAAAGGTGTGTGTCAGGGTTGTATCCTTTCACAATACTTATTCAATCTGTATGGTGAGCAAATAATCCAAGATGCTGGAGTATGTGAAGAAGAATGTGGCATCAAGATTGGAGGAAGGCCACTTGAGATATGCATATGATACAAGCTTGCTTGGTGCAAGTAAAAAAGACTTGAAGCACTTGCTGATGAAGATCAAAGTCTACAGCCTTCAGTATGGATTATACCTCAACATAAAGAAAATAAAAATCCTCACAACTGGACCAATAAGCAAGCAACATCATGATAAATTGAGAAAAGATTGAAATTCTCAAGGGTTTCATTTTACTTGGATCCACAATTATTGCCCATGGAAGTAGCAGTCAAGAAATCAAATGACATACTTCTTTGGGCAAATTTGCTGCAAAAGACCTCTTCAAAGTGTTAAAAAGCAAAGGTGTCACTTTGAAGACTAAGAGGAACCTGACCTAACCCATGATATTTTCATTTGCCTCTTTTGCATGCAAGAACTGCATAATGAATAAGGAAGACCCAAGAAGAATTAATGCCTTTGAATGATGGTGTTGGTGTAGAATATTGAATATACCACAGACTTCCAGAAGAAGGAACCAATCTGTTTTGGAAAAAGTACTGTCAGAATGCTCCTTAGAAGTGAGAATGATGAGACTTTGTCTCGTGTATTTTGGACATGTTATTAGGTGGGACAAGTCGCTGAAAAAGAAAATCATGGTTGATAAAGTAGAGGGTCAGTGAAAAAGAGGAAGACCCTCAATGAGATGGATTGACACAGTGGCTGCTACAATGGACTCAAACATAGAAACAATTGTGAAGATGATGCAGAACTAGGCACTGTTTCATTCTCTTGTACACAGGGTGCTATGAGGTGGAACCAACTTTATGGCACCTAACAATCGCAATAGAGGAAACAATTGTAGGTTTCACATGTTACTGTTGGAGATGTGTTTTGCTTCAGAAATGGAATTTTTTCTGTCACTTATGCCTTTTTCAAATATTCACTGAATGCGAGTGTACAAATACTTATGCAATATCTGGGTGACAAGGTAGCTACATCTGTATCATTGAGTGGCAAATCAATTTTTTTTTCACATGTTCAGTATGTATGTTTAAAAATGTGAGTTGTTATTCCAAATCAAACTCACTGCAATCAAGTTGATTCTGACTCAAAGTGACTCCCACTGGGTTTCCAGGACTATAAATCTTTATGGAAGCAGACTGCCTCATCTTTCTCCCACGGAGTGGCTGGGTTTGAACACTGACTTTTTTTTTTTTTAGCAGCCAGATGTCTTAACCACTTACCACCAGAGATCCTTGAGTTGTCATTGGGTGGGTGGAATTTGTTACTTGTTTTTCTTTGGGCTTGAGGACCTAGGGCAGTGGTTCTCAAATTAGCTGTATATTGAGATCACCTGGAGTATTTATAAAGTATTGATAATTGGGTTCCACCCTGTTGTTGTTGTTGTTATTTGCCATCGAGTCGGCCCGACTCATAGCCACCCCTCCTTGGGTTTCCGAGGCAGTTATCACTACGGAAGTAGGATTGCCCAGCCTTCCTTCCGAGGAGTGGCTGGTGGGTTTGAACCGCCAGCCTCCTGGTTAGCAGTCAAGTGCCTTAGGCACTATGCTCCCCTAGAAATTCTTATTTAATTAATTGATCTATTGATCTGGATGTTGGCACTTACTATTGTCCACAGTTAGTCCTTGATCAGTATTTGTAATATTATTGTTATTATAACAGTAAGATTGTAATATGAGAACGATGGCACTATTATCTACCTAAGGGAGCTCTGGTAGCATAGTGGCTAAGATACTTGTCTGCTAACCAGACGGCTGGCGGTTCAAACCCACCAGCCACTCCTCGAAGGAAGGTTGGGCAATCCTACTTCCGTAGTGATACTGCCTCGGAAACCCAAGGAGGGGTCGCTATGAGTCGGGTTTGACTCGACAGCACATAACAACAACAGCAACGATGGCAAAGTACTCAAATGGCAGACAAGTTCTCTAGTAAACATGGGTTTATTATTTTTGCTGGAATATGATATTTATAGTTGCCCCTGTCTCTGAGGTATATTTCTTAATACTAAAACTTAAATTTTTACTATTTTAATAGCTTCTTCATATTATCACTAACCTGATTGAAATGTTTTATAATCGTTTAGTATTATTACAGTATATTTATATAGTATTCAGTCAGTATTATTACAGGAATCAAATGAGGCAATGTATTTTAAAGTGCTACACAGAAAAACCAGGTTAAAAATGTGTGTATGTGGGAAAAAAATACACACACACAGACACATACACACATACACGTACATATTTGCATGCTGAGAAAAATCTAGAAGGATATTTAATGCGAACATTAGGCTCTGGGTAGTGGAAATATGATGCTTTTATTTTATTATATATATGTAATTTTGGTTTATTTGCATTTCTAATTTTGTACAATATACCTGTATATCCTTTATAATTAAAAAAAATGCATTAGAAATTAGCAATGAGATCCATTCTCTATCTGCAAAAGTTCAATAAATTAAATTTACTAAATAATAATGTGCTACACAAATACATCTATAGCAAACTAAGTTTACTGGAGACAAAACAGACTTGTGTTCAGAAGTCCTGGGATTTAGACCATTGCCTCACTTGATTCCTGTAATAATAATAATAATAATAATAATAACTGTACTTATTCTTCTTACATGCAAGATAGTCTTTACATCCTTAAGATTATCGTGAAGACAAGAATATCTTCATTGCATTATAAGCTTCATATGTTAAGTTATTGGCAGTGAGGTATTTAGCATAATAATAACTAGTAAAATTTTTGAATATTATTTCTACTTATTACAATGGAGAAAGAAGTCCCTGAGTAGTATGAATGCTCAGTTGCTGTCTCCAGGGTTTGTGGTTTAAGTCCATCCTGAGACACCTTGGAAGAAAGGCCTAGTGATCTGCTTATGAAAAATCAGCCATTGAAAACCCTATGGCACATAGTTCTACTCTGACACACATGGCTTCACCAAGTGTCAGAATCAACTTCATGGCAACTGATTTTATTACAAAGGGAAAAA